CCGTCCCCCCCCTCCCGCCCCGTCCCTGCCCCGCCGCCGGCGACCGCGCAGCGGCCGCGTCTCTGCGGGCCGTGCGATAAATCCGGCGGAAAACGTCTGGGCTGGTCCGGGCTTGCGCTGAGCCGGCGCCTGCAGCTCTCAGACACAAAGCTGGGGAGGGCTGCGGCGGGCGAGCCTTGCCTAAACGTGGCCTGAGAGGCTCCCTCCCTACAGGTCCCCGTGGGCACGTCTACGGCCAGAAACATACCCCCGGCACCTTGCAGAATGATGCGACCTGGGCAAACGCACGCTAACCCGAGAGCAGAAACCCTTGACATCCACGCGTTTGTACCTATACACGTTATTCCGCGCGTACGTGTGTGCGTAGATACACGCAGAGAGGTACAGATGCATCGGTGCGTTTGCACGCCCTATCCCTGTGAACGCACCACCCGAAACGGGGGATAATAGTGCACCGGCTGCTCGTTGAGGGACTTGCGCAGGCAACTACAGTCGTGGAAAAGTGGTGGGTATGCCCGGATGGTCGAAACCATCCACATTGTTTCGGAGATTAATAATAAATATTAAAAAAAAAAACAAACAACCCCAAAACACAAAACCGCATCGGGATCAGAGGGAGGCAGTCAGCTGGCAGTGCGGTTTAACGCAGATCAAAGCCAGACTTTGCTAATATATAGATCCGTATATGAATTAATGCATGTTAATGGCCCCCAAAAGGACATTACAAAATTGTGAATGTAGAATTATGACCCTGCAAAGACACAACAAATTATTCAAAGCCATTTAAAAAAAAAAAAAAAAAATCTGTCTCAACTGCATTTTTGAAGTTTAAGTCTTCCCATATCAAGAACTGGCTTTACAAAGATTTCTGAACACCTTCATCTACAACACCATGGCCTCGAGCAAAAATACAAATAAAACAAGCCATAATTCAGGAACTTCTGAGGAGGAGAACCTTTGACCTGAGCTGCGGACTTGGCATCCCTCAGATATACAATTATCTGAGCCAGGCTGCTCCGCTAATCCATACTGTACCTTCAACGCAACGATATTTTGCAACATCTAAAGCACCGGGTTGCAACGTATATATCTATCAAAAGCTCGGGCCTGTTCTTGTTTGCAATATATATCAAAAACACAGGCCTGTTCATATGTTGATTGCCACAAATCACACTCCATATTTACATATATCTTGCTATTTTACATGCATTATCTGCCCATTATGCATTAGGATCCTATTCAACTTCCAAACAATGCGATATGAAAGGGTCTTACTGACGCTCTAGCAGGGCTTTTTTTTTTCTTTATGCCCCATATGTCGCACCCTTAAGGTTAGTAAAATATTTATCGGGTATTTACGATAAGTGCACCTACAACTGCAGGTCGCTGGACAACGTGGAGGGGGAAGCCGCTCGCTAGAAG